TATTTATTTATTTAATTTATTTATTTATTTATTTATTTATTTATTAATAAATATAATATACTTTCTTCTTTCTTCGTTTCTAATAAATAACTAACCTTAATGAATAAAAAAAAATAATTATTTACTTATTTATTTTATTTATTTATTTATTTATTTATTTATTTATTTATTTATTTATTTATTTATTTATTTATTTTATTAAAGGCGGAGAAGACAAAGAAAGAATTAGATGAAGAAAAAGAAGAAATAAATTATAATAGACAAGTAAATAAATAAATAAATAAATAAATAAATAAATAAATAAATAAATAAATAAATAAATAAATAAGTAAATAAATAAATAAATAGTCTCCTTTTTTTTTTGCTGCAGTTATTAGAGGCGAAGACATTCGCCCTTCGTTTTGCTGCAGCAGCAAAGAAGAATCATCATTTATTATCTACGCATGCAATACCTGGTGCTGCTGCTGCTGTTGCTGCTGCTGCTGCTGCTGTTGCTGCTGCTGTTGCTGTTGCTGCACTAGCTGCTTGCTAGAGGGTGAGGTGCCTGTGCTGCAGGTGTATTCATGCAGCGGCAGAAAGCTTCTGTTGCTGCTGCTGCATATAGAAGGGAGACACGGCTGCAGCAAGTACCATCTGCTGCTGCTGTTGCTGCTGCTGCTGCAGCAGCAGCAGCAAAAGCAGAATTAACACCAAGGAAGCTATTAGGAGTAAAAATTGATTCGCTGCTGCAGCAGCCACAAAAGACACTAGAAGCGCTGCAGCCTGCTGTTACAGGAACTGCAGCAGCTCGTCGTCCAGCAGCAGCAGCAGCAACTGCAGCAGATGCAGCAGCAGCAACTGTGTGTATATAACGAATAAAGAAAAGAGTTAAATGCAAAGAACAAAAGAAAGCCCGCAGGTGCAGCAGCAAATGCAGCAGCAGCACACACAGTTGCCTGTCTTGCTGCTGTTCCTGCAACATTTGCTGCTGCTGCTGCTGCTGCTCCTGCAGCAGCTGCAGCAGCAGCTGTTGCTGCAGCAGCAGCAGCAGCAGCACATACAAAAGAAGCATAATTCAAAGCTGCGTATGTATAATAAAAGGCAAATAATAAGAATAGCTTCGTCTCGTGCTGCTGCTGCTGCTGCTGCTGCTGCTGCTGCTGCTGCTTCTGTTGCTGCTGCTGCAGTTGCTGCTGCTGCTGCAGTTGCTGCTGCTGCTGCTGGCCTTATGGGTCCTGCGAGTCTCTCTGGTCATCACTTATAGGAGACACTTCTGCTGCAGCAATTGGCTCAGCAGCAGATTGCTGCAGCAGCTGCTGCAGCGAGGCAAAGGTCTCCCGCTGCTGCGGGGATAGCACATCCTGCTGCTGCTGCTGCTGCTGCTGCTGCTGCTCCTGTTGCTGCTCTTGTTCCTGTTGATGTTGCAGCTCTTGCTGCTCCTGTTGCTGTTGCATATCGCAGTTTTGTTGCACATCCACCTCTTGCTGCTGCTGCTGCTGCTGCAGCTCCTGCTGCTGCAGCTCCTGCTGCTGCAGCTCCTGCTGCTGCTGCTGCTGCTGAGGCTTCGTCAGAGCAGCAACATCAGTGTCTCCCTGCACTGTGTCCTCCTGCATCGGCAGCATCTCCTGCTGCTGCTGCAACGGCTCCTGCTGCTGCTCCTCCTGCTGCTGATATAGCGGCAGCTGCTGCTGCTGCTGGTCATCAACTGCCATTTGCTGCTGCAGTTTGTCTTCTGCTGCCATGCTGGATGTGCATGCAGACCCAACAGCTGCTGCAGGAGACATATCTGCTGCCTGCTGCTGCTGCTGCTGCTGCTGCTGCACCCCTTGCATAGCCGCCTGCTCATCAGGCCGATGTGGGGACTCTATCGGTTGCTGCATTTGCTGCGGCATTTGCTGCTGCTGCGGCGGTATTTGCTGCGGCTGCTGCTGCTCCTGCGGCGGCAGCGGCATTTGCTGCTGCTGCTGCTGCTGTTCCTGCTGCTGCTGCTGCTCCTGCTCCTGCTGCTGCCTGCTGCTCCTGCGTGGCGGCAGCACTGTTGCAGGGATGGTGAAGTGACTGCGACGGCGATGGTGTGGTGTATAAAGAAAGACGGACAAAGGAATAAACCTGCAGCAGCAGCAGCAGCAGCAGCAACAGCAGCAGCAGCAACAACAGCAAGAAGTAGCATGAGGAGGGCAGTTAGGTGCATCAATCAAGTATACCAAGACACACTAGCAGCAGCAGCAGCAGCAGCAGCAGCAGCAACAGCAGCAGGAAAGGTAGCAGCAGCAGCAAGAGCATCTAAAGAATACCCAAACACCACGGACAACAGCAGCAAAGACTGGTACAGCAGCAGCAGCAACAGCTGCTGCTGTCGCTGCTGCTGCTGCAGCAGACCCATGACAAAAAGCGATAAGACGCACCTGAAGAGCTTTTGCTGCTGCAGCTGCAGCAGCAAATCCGGTGTCAGTATGCATGCATGCAAATCTCCAGCAGATGGCTGCGCGATGACCTCATACACCTGCTGCTCCTGCTGCTGCTGCTGCTGCTGCTGCTGCTGCTTCCCGCCTTTCCTATAAGGCCTCCAAGCAGTCTCAACTTCCCTTGTGGCATCATCATCACCATCATCTGCTGCTGCTGCTGCAGCTGCTGCTGATGCCTCTGGGGCAGCAGCTTGTTGCGGCTCGGTTCCCCCGCAGCTGCTGCTGCTGCTGCTGTTGCTGCCGCTGCTGCTGCTGCTGCTGCTGCTGCTCTTGGCAAAGAAATTAGATAAAGGAGGGACGGTAAAGATGGTGTCTGCATCAAAGAAGAAAGTTTCTAAGAAATGATGAGGAGACACAAAAGGTACTTGCTGCTGCTGCGCCTCAATGCTGCTGCTGCTGCTGCTGCTGCTCGTGTTGCAGTTGTTGCTGCTGCTGCAGCGGTAAGGAGCAGCAGGAACAGCAAATGGCAACGGCACTCTTAGAGACACAGGAGACAACAAATTAAGGAATTCTGCTGCAGTACCCTTCTTCTTCCCTACGCATCCTGCTGCTGCCGTGCTGCTGCTGCTGCTGCTGCTGCTGTCGCTGCTGCTGCGGCATAGACACCGAGGCCCTTCCAATCCCGCCAAAACGTTGTTGTTATTGTTGTTGCTGCTGCTGCAGCTATTACAGCAGCAGCATCCTTTGCTGCTGCTGCAGTTGTTGCTGCTGCTGCTGTTTCTGCTGCTGCAGTTAGTAAGTATATCCTCAGCAGCAATCTTATGCAGCAACTGCAGCAGCAAATGATTCCCTAGGCAGCAAATAAAATATAAATCGCGCTGCAGCAAACCACGAGAAATATTTAGGGGATATAAACCTAAGAAAGCAGCAGGAAGAGGAGGAGATTCATTACATTCCTCTGTACCTTTGCTGCTGCTGCTGCTGCTGCTGCTGCTGCTGCTGCTATTAGATGAAGCTACACATGCAGACCATGATGATGTAACAGGAAGCAACACCCCGTGCGTTTCTGCTGCTGCTGCTGCTACTTCTGCTGCTGCTGCTGCTGCTGCATCCTCCTCCATGGCACCTTCTGAACCAGCAGCTGCAGTGTTGCTGCTGCTGCTGTTGCTGCTGCTGTTGCGTGGGGCACCAATAGCAACAGGACACAAAGTCCGCAGCACAGATGCAGCGTCCATACACCTAGGCAGCAGCAGCCAACCTGCAGCAAACATCAAAGCAGCAGCAGCAGCAGCAGCAGCAAAACTCTGCTAAAAAGAAACAGCAGCAAGGGGCACAGGAACAACTGCAGCAGCAGCAGCAACAGCAGCAGCAGCGGCTAATCCTGCAGCAAACATCTAAAATATTAGACAGAGAGAGTTTAATGCAGGAGGAGACACAGCAGCAGCAAATGCAACAAGAGCAGCAGCAGCAGCAGCAGCAGCAGCAGCAGCAGCAGCAGCAACGAACCGTCTCCTCTAGCCCTTGCAGTCTCTGGGAAATCAAAGAGCTGCCAGCCGCACAGTTGCTGCTGCAGTGCAGCAGCAGCAGCAGCACCGTACTTCGCCTTCTGCAGCAGGCAGCAAGCAGCAAACACAACAAATCCTTATACACATTAACACATACAACAGCAATAGCAGCAGCAGCAGCACTAGCAGCAGAAGCAGCAGCACTAGCAGCAGCAGCAGCAGCAAGGGCTTACAGCAAATGAGCCAAGGAAGGCATCTAGCTGCGCAAATAGTTGGCAGCTAAGAACATTAGGTAAGTGCAGCACGCGCAGCACATGAGCAGCAGCAACAATTGCTGCTGATCCTTCCTCCTCCTCACCAGCAGCAGCAGCAGCACCTGCTGCACCTGCTGCTGCTGCTGCTGGTGCTGCTGTTGATGGCGGACAGTACAGAGTAAATTGACTCGGGAAGCAAAAGCCCTCATAGCTCAGCCACTCTGCTGGATATACACCTCGTGCTGCAGCAGCAGCAGCAGCAACAGCAAACATAGCAGCAACAACATATGATACAGCAGCAGCAGCAGCAGTAGCAGCAACAGCAGCAAGAGACACGAGCAGATAACCCCATGCTAACTAGACACACCAAACGCACAAAAACAACCACCATAACCGCCACCAACAGCAAGAGCAGCAGCAGCAGCAAGAGCAGCAGCAGCAGCAAGAGCAGCAGCAGCAGCAGCAGGAGCCTACTAGTTTGTTTTTGTATAAGTTCCTTAAGTGCAGCATCAAGAGAATGAGAAGGAGCAGCACCAGACATCTTTGCTGCCATGGATAAGAATACACCCCAAGGGAACCAATTCGTCTCCTCCTGCAGCAGCAGCAGCAGCAGCAGCAACAGCAGCAGCATGAGTAAGAGTAAGAACAACAGCAGCCGCAGCAGCGCACTGCAACGAGACACATATAACATCTGCCACCGACGTGCAGCAACAGCAGCAGCAAATAGCAGCAGATAGCAACAGTCTGAAGCAGCAGCAGCAGCAGCAGCAGCAACAGCAACAGCAGCAACAGCAGCAGCAACAGCAGCAGCAGCAGCAGCAGCAGCACGTACCCCCTCTGACGGTAAGATTTCGTAA